CCCCCTGAAACTACACGTCTTTTTCCAGTATGTGGGTAACTTCAAATTTACGGCAGCGGGAGCGGCGTGTATCAGCGAGAGGAGCGCACGCCGGTCTCCGTGCGGGCGCTGCAGCCGGTCCCGAGCGTGTGCGTGGCAGGGGGGGCTGCTCTTGCTCTGCAGCAAGGGGAGGCAGAGCTGAAACTTCTGAAGGAAAACACATGGAAACGTAACATTAACTCTGGCAAAGCAGCACCGCAGTCCTCAGCTCGCCACTTGCAATTCCAATTGCTCACAGCCGTTCTGGGTAACAGGGATGGGAAATTGGACAACCACCCAGGAAATATTTTTGCTATTACCACTGCAACGAATGTCCAAGTTGCGCTGCACTTTTTTTTCCTGGTTGGAGAAAAACTGGCTGGACTGTCCCCAGAAAGAAAAAGCATTTGCATTCTTGTTATAAGCAAACGTTACTGAAAATCAGAGCTCTCGGGGGACGCGTGCCGGACGCCAACGCGGAGACCAGCGCTGCTGCACAGCCGGTCTCACCGGGCAGCACCTCCTGTACGCACCGAGCCCTGCCAAGCCCTGATGGAAAATAACGAAACGAACGGCCGAGCCACAAACAGGCCCTGAGGAAAGCTGGTAAAAGCATATTTTGACACTGCACTAACTAATGAAAGATTAATTGTGTCAGTATAATTCCCTTTGGTTCACAGTGAGGCAGGCAGGCTGGAGGACGCGAGAGGAAGCCGTCCTCGGACGCAACACTGAGTTTCTGCTTAAAGGGCTCTTTACAGACCCAGCCTGGTGAGAGGTTTTGATTTTGAAAACCAGCCTTTTTCTAAACCTAAGAGAAATGAAGAGTTTAATTTTCTATGAAAGCGCTACAAACCACAGCCTTTACACACAGTGCTTGCAACACTGAGCAATACTCTGAGAAGGAAAATACTAAAGGAATATTAAATACTAAAGGAAAAAAAACCCTCGTCGTTTTTTAATCCAAATCGGGAGGTACACAGTAGTCTCTTATTGCCTCTCTCATAAATAGCGTGTGTGTTTGTGCACACTCGTGAAAGGAGTAAACTTTCTTTTCCTTTCAATAGGGGAAAGTAATCTACATGTGAAGGCTTATTTACAACTTTTAATGCTTCTTTTCATAATTTCCTTCAGTCATTTTTATTCAAGGCTAGCAGTCATGGTAGGAGAAGTCCCCCAGCCATAAAACCCAGGGTGAAAGGCGCTACATAAAGGCACCAGACAAGCGTTCACCGTCTCCGGCTCTGCACCTCTGCCGTCTGCTCGGCTCCCCCGGACACGGGACTTTCTGAAGTGCCTAAACACAACTCACAAATCTCATGTGCTTGGCACGGGACGGGTGCTCCTGTACCACCGAGATGGCTTTGGAAAAGCTGCTACAGCCCGAGCACTGCACAGTCCCGCTCGGCAGGGGCGTGCAACCCTTCCCCGCAGGAGTATTCCAAGGAAAAAAATTGTGACCACGTAGGAGACGCTCAGACACAATTTGTGGCAGGCTGCAGCTCGGGAGGAGAGGGGACACTACCGCACCCTCCAGCCTCGCACAGACGGCAGCGGAAGGAACCCTGTCCACTCGTGAAGCACAGAGATGAGTGCTGCTGTCCCTCAGCCAACACTGCAGTGGGCTCCCAGCAAGATCTCATGTCACGGCAGAGAATGCGACGTTGTAAATGTGGCTCTGATTAGAAAACCACAACAAAAAAAGGTGACTCTTCCCCAAAGGAAAAGACTTTGGCTGCCTGGGGATTCCCACTCTGCTGAGGGTCACGTGGGACAGCTCACTCCAAAACCAAATCCGACAGACTGTCCAAATGAGATGGCCCCAGCCTGACTCCTGCCACCCAGTTCCCCCAGATGTTCTCACACCACAGGACAGCAACGTGTGGTTTCATCCTGCAGGATTGTAACTTAAACATGAAAATAAAACTCTACCCAAAATAACAAGCGCGCTTCAGGGCCACGTAACGCCCAGAGCAGAGCAGAGCCACAATCCACAAGGCGTAGCGTCCCCCGCCTGCCCTGCGCAGCGCAGACGCCAGCCACCGGCCTCACTGGGTCCCAGGGACAGGGCCCAGGCCCTGCTCTCTCTTCTTTAGCCACGGAGACGTAGCCCAGGTACCCCAGCCCTCCTGAAACTGGTATAAAGTGGGATTTACCAATGCAGGGCTTGGGAATTCCCACTGGCTGTAATTTCATTGTACAGCTGCCCAAAGAAGCTGCAAAATCTCCACCCCTGGAGACCCTCCAAGCATCACCAGCTACCAACCCCAGCAGCCTGATCGAACCTTGGAGGCTGACTTGAAAGCCAGCCCAGTTCTCTGTGCAAGGCTGGACCAGACAACCTCCAAGAGTTCCTTCCACCCTGAAAAACCCTATGATTTTATTTCACTGACAACTGACTGGAAGGCAAGCGGAATCGCCCTGTAGGCTTCAGCAAGCCTGAAACACCCCAGAGAAGATGACAGACTCCAGTCTGGAGAGAAGAAAGTGAACGGCAGAACAGGCAAGCTAACGGGCACTGCAGGACACTGTTCAGGGTCTGAAGACTAAAAAACAATCTGAAAGTAATAAATAGCAGAAGGTACAACTTGGTATCCAAGGTGGAGAAATGGGCTATCCACACAGACAGATCTTCCTGAACGACCTCAGACACAAACATGCCCCTGCTGAGAACCTGTCGGCTAGGTCAGTGACACGAAGGAGACAATCTTATTTTTGCATCAAATAAAGCATCCAAGATTTGTACAGCCCAGCACATGCTGCAGTGCTCCATCTCCAGAGCCTGGCACCTGTACAAAGCTGCATACCACGGGTAAAAGTCCCCCCTTTTTCAAAAGCTGTATTTCTCATGCTTGTGGATATCAAGATAATCTCACAAGCACGGACATGGTTTTACGTGGTGTTGGTTCCCAGAATCAAGTGTTTGCTGCCTCTTGTAGCAGATAAAGTGCCTTTCCCGCAGTTTCAAACAACTTCCACTCACCGAGATATCAAAAGTGCCAACGGCTCCACTGAGCTGTCATGGGCTCTAGTTCCCCATCATTCCTACAAGACAGCAAAGTCAGTACATCTACTGCAGCATATCAAAACCTGAAAGCACAGAGACAAAACGAAAAAGTTTGCATTTAATTGCAGAAAGGCTAGGTTACCACTTGCATTATTCATGTTCATATTTAATTCATTTAAAACATCCACATTTAAATTTAAAGACAGCTGCAACAAACATTCCCACTTGCAACAGCACAGCGCCGAACGTGACACAATTTAAGTTCAGCTTGCAGTGAGTGCACAGGACTGCGGCTGTTAAACACCTTTGATATGAGCCAGATCACATCAACCGAGTTGATATAAACTAGTTCAGCTTTTGTAAAATGAAACTATCACACAAAGAAGGATTTGAAAGACTAGACCTGATTAGTAATAAAAAGGAGAGAGACCACAGGAGAGGCATATAAAATAACGAGTAACATGAAGGGAGTGAACTGGGGACTCCAAACTATCCCTTCCACAGTGCAGCAGGGCAAAGCTATAATACTAAAAAATAAGTATATACCAGGGAGAAGGAAATTTTGGTTATTGGAAGCTAACAGACATGCAACTTCCTCCTGGAGGACGTTCTCAAGACAAGTAAAAAAAGGACAAAGACATTCAAAAGCCAAAGCGCATTTATAACTGTATCAAAGTATGAACCACACAGGCCGCTGGCACTCACACCTCATGCAAAAGCTGACTGCGAGGTGGGGTGCCCAGCCAAAACCTGCCCACCACACCATCACATCACCTGCTGCGTTGTGGCAAGGAAAAGCCGAGCGCTTGCCTTCCTGCCAGGCTGCAGGCACCGGGTCGCGGCCAGAGGCAGGGCACCAGCTCATGACGCCGTTTTGTCAGCACCCCAGTGACCCCCGCGTTGGGTCACACCAAGATTTACACCTCGGATGGACTGGATGTATTTTCCTTGTTCACAGAGGCAGGCAGGGCTGGGCAGAGCACCCTAGGGCAGCCCCGGCTCGGACTGCCGCTCTCTCCGGCAGCCACGCCGCAGAACCCTCAGCACAAACATCGCTGAACTGCATCTTAATCTAATTAAGTTCTCCCCCCCACTGCTCTTACCAACAGGCTCTTCCAAAAGCTCATCCTCACCATCCCTAAAGGGAGAATGATTCAATTTACCTGTGTCAGACTGGAAGGGGCCTTCAGGATTAGAGGGTAACCTACTCTGCAATATTCTTCCACTAAATGCTGCAACTGCAACGTCAGTAAAACAAAAAGCGAGAAAATGTGGGTGGAAGATACTGTCACAGCTCGACAGACCTCATGAGACGCATGTAATCTCTTTATTCACAAAGCCTCCACTCCTTCGGAGTGCATAATTATGAAAAGAGTTAAAGCTGAGGTTCTTAATGTCTCTTCTAGGCACTTCTTTATTCCACTAAAGGCACCACTCGCATCTGAATTATTTCCTGGGGTTGTTTGGACTTCCTATTATACGAGGAAGATTATGGTGAACCTTGGGCTGGAGGCCAAGGCAGCTCCCAGCGCTACCATGTTTGATTGAAAGGGTAACTGAAGTTTCGCTGACAGCGTGCCAAGCTTCAAACCTCTTTGGACAATGCAGTTGCCAGCAGGCAAGATGTTTTCAGAAAGAAGAGGAAGAAAACTACCAACAGCGAAGCTGAAAAATGGTTTTATTAGGTCGGATACATACCCCACAGATTAGGATCATGAAAAAAAAGAAAACTCTGCATATTGCCAGAGGACTGTGA